AAAATAAAATATTTTATTAAATCAACAAAAATTTTCTCTAATAATACCATCAGAAAAATCTCGTTCAATTTTTCGTTTTGGTTTTGATAATGGAATTTCATCAATCCAAGAATATAATTCTTGTAAATTTGATTCATCTAATTCCGATTCCCAAATCATTTTAAATCAATAAAGATTTCTATTCTATTCGATCGTTAAAACAGAAGTATAAAAAAATAAAATAAAATAATTTTTTTTGTTCGGTTTCTTTTTCCATTAGGAAAAAAAGAACTTTTATCCAATGAGATAATTATTTATCAACAAATTTAAATTATTCAAGATAAATCAAAAGTCGTTCATTTAACATATGTGTCATATGCTTAACACATAAATTATATATGAAAAGTATTTTCCGTGGAGGTTTCGAGAGAAATAATAAAATTTAAAGTCTATAAAGAAGAGTTAATATTGCTCAAAATTATAATTACAAATAAATGAGAATTTTATCTCAGACGAATCATATAAAATATATTTTTTACAATCTCGTTTATCTTTATTTGTTTGACTAAATGACAAGAATAAAATATTGTTTTCTTTTTATAAATATTATTTCAATTGAATCCAAGTTAAGATAAAATAAGTCTCAATAATAGAAAATTCTAATTCATTAATATCAATCTATGAATCAAATTCAATAATTTTCGAATTATCACGTTTGAGTGTTATAGTTTTTAAATAAATTGGTATTTAATTCACAAGTATTTTCAATATGATTAACAGACATTATTTCACATGCATGAACTGTAAAATTATGTTCTATTGAAGATATCACTATAGGATTTATCCAATCATTATAATCTACACATGAGTAACCATGTAAGTATGACACAAACTTTTTCTTCATTTGTATATCGAATATTAAACCACTTGAATCCAGAAAAACCATTTGGAATTGCATCAGATTTCGAAATTTTAAGTAATGAATCGAAAGTTATTGTTCGAACATCTGACGATGATAAAATAGCTATTATTAAAATTATTTTTCTTTGAGTTTATTTAGTTTCTGTTTTAATTGATGATTCTCTTCGAGAATTTAGCTAAGAACTGGACGAATCTGTTCGTAAAGACATCGACTAAGATAAGAAAAAAGTTGATCTTTTTGACCAACCCATGGATATTGAATATCTGGTACTGAACATGAACACATAATTGTTTTTCGACATCTTTTTAAATGATCTTTAAAATTACCACGTTGAATTCCTGTTTGTGAAAAAGTTTTACATTTAACAAAGATGTTATCAAGCATATTTAATATCAAACATGTTTCAACAGGCATTAACTCTTTCATATTTGAAATATTCTTTCGGCAAATTAGACATGACTTATTATTATAATTATTAATCCATTATTCAATACATTTATAACAAAATATATCACGACAGGCTGCTGTAACTGGTTGTTCACATGATACCTTTTAAATTTTTATCAATTGACATTTCATCAATATATTCATATTCCATTAAGAATATTTTCTACCACTAATTCTTCAATTTGATTCTAAAAGTAAAAGAAAAATTATTTTATTTAAAATCTTACTCAATATATATAAGTTAGATGTTGTTTTTTTCATACTTTTTTTTGTTCTGTTTATAAATTTGTCAGCGTTGTTTTTTCTCACTTACTGTAACTGTATTTCATCACATGTCATAATCACCAAATAACAAAACAAAACCAACGTATGTAAAAATATCTATTGAAAATAATAAATAAAAGATTTTCTAAATAAATCCCTTTCTATTTTAATTAAACAATTATTTTTAAGAGAATCGTTATTATCTATCGCACCATCCATGATTATTTTTCTTTTTTTCCTTATTAATATTATTTGCCTATGACCTGAGGTTATGAATATCACATGTGATATCTGAGAATCGAATCTTTTTTCCGCATGGTATATTTGTACTACATAGTTTGAGGACAAAAAATAATGCTTATTTCGTTTGCTAATTACATACACAATTCAAATTGTTTTTTTACAGTATATTTATCTTTAAATCGTTCTTTTCACATTAAATATACATATTTATTGATAGTAATTGATACTCTCCTTCTTTTTTTTTCATATACGTATAAATATTTTTGATCAAATATTATTTTATATATTGGATGACTGTAAGTATAGATTTATTTTTGATCGTAAAAATAAGAGATGAAGAAAAAAAAAAGATATAATGATAAATTTGATTGAATCAATTGAAAATTGTTCTTGTTAATAGCGAGAAATTTTCATGTATTTTTTACACTGAAAAGTGTCAAAGTAAAAGATAAAAAACCAAATAGTTAAATAGTAAGAATAGCAATTATTAATAAATTGATTTTATCATATTCATTTACCTTTGAAATTTACTGTTTGACTTTTTTTTTTCAAAAATCATAAATAGTTATAAGCAATTTCGTATATTTATAAAAAAAATCTTAGTAGCATGTGAATAGAAAATATACTATAATTTTTAAGCATATTTATTGGTTAATATTATAATCTTATGAATGACAATAAAATCTAGAATATACTTATATGATTGAGTATTGTCTGTACTTATTTATTGGTAGTATTTTTCTTTTTTATATATATATATATGTATGTATTGTGTTGTACATAATCGTTGACTTCCACCTTGAAAAGAAGAATATACACACTCAATAAAAATGAATAACGATACGAATGAAACCTGACGAGGGAGAACGAAAGAGAAAGACAGAACGATCAAAAACATCGAAATGATTATTACAGTTGCACTTCTATGATACACACACAATCAATCGCAGTACCTGTATAGAAAAAAAGAGTCAATCAACCAGTTCACGTTTTTTTTTCTGTCCCTTTTTAGTATTCCTATCGAGTCATCCTATTTTTTTTTATTATTTTTGTCGTCAGATTTACTTTTTATTATTGTATAATAATACAAATGGCATCCTCTAATACCGGTTCTAATAATGCTAGTGATAGGAAACTCACGCGTATGTAATTTATATTTATTAATGCATTGAAACATATAAATATTCATTTTGTAGGTGATAGCTCAATGGATAGTCATGCAAGATTTAATCTTTCGCCAGTACCAAGTGTTGAAGATGATGAAGATGATGGTGTTGGTTATCCATCTGGACAAGGTTTATCAAGTATTGATCAAAATGATAGTGGGGAAGAAGCTGAATCTCTTGCTAATGATGCAGGAAATACAACGACTGTTACAATGTACGATGCAAATCATGGTCCTAGTAGTCCATCAGCAAAGAAATATGATCATCAAAGTTTATAATAAAATATCTATAGATAATTTCTATTTTTATATTATTTTAGTAACTGATGTAACATATGTTGTTCGTAAACATTATGAAAATTTTGAAACAATAGATTGGCTAAAAGATTTAATGCGAAATCGTATTCGTCATCGTAATTTACGGGCACATAGACGAGAGAATTGGCAAAAGCGATTTGCTTTTTGGTTTGATAAATGGAGTGGATGGATCTGTGTTTTATTAGTTGGTATATCAGCAGGTTAGTTTATATTTATTCGAAAAGATTATTATTTAATCTTTTTATTTCTCTTTAATATTAAAGGTCTTGTCGCTGGTTTTGTTGATATTGGAGCAAAATGGATGAGTCATTGGCGAACTGGTGTTTGTTCATCAGCATTTTGGCTTAATCGTGAACAGTGTTGTTGGGGTTCGAGAGATGTTGAATTCGATGATGTTCATAATGAACTATGTGAATATGTAAATGATTTAGATTAGAAAATAAAAAATTTATATATTTTGTTTTTGTATTAGTGGCAATCATGGTCTGCAATATTTGGTATGAATGAATTATCAGCAAGTGCTTGGTTTTTTTCGATATTTTATGTTTACATTTTGGTCGGTTATTTATGCAGCTTTTATTGTTGTTCTTGTTGTTGGTTCTGCTCCATATGCAAGTGGATCAGGTATTCCTGAAATAAAAACAATTTTATCAGGTTTTATAATGTATGGTTATTTGGGTAAATGGACTTTTTTTTATAAAAAGTATTGGTATGATATTTGCAACAAGTGCAGGACTTATTGTCGGTAAAGAAGGTCCATTTGTACATATTTCTTGTTGTTGTGGAAATCTTTTTTCAAGTAAGATAAAAAAAACGTTTAAGAATAATTTTTCAAAAAATAATAATTTTAGAATTGTTTCCAAAATATGGTCATAATGAAGCACGTAAACGTGAAATATTATCTGCAGCTGCAGCTACAGGTGTATCAGTTGCATTTGGTGCACCAATTGGTGGAATTTTATTTAGTTTAGAAGAAATAAGTTATTATTTTCCATACAAAACATTATGGCGAACATTTCTTTGTTGTATGGTTGGTGCACTAGTTGTACGTACAATAAATCCATATGGAAATGGACATGAAATTCAATTTCCTGTTGAATATAATGTACCATGGGCAACATTTGAAGTTATACCATTTATTGGTCTTGGTGCATTAGGTGGTTTATGGGGAACATTATTTATAAAAACAAATATACGTTGGTTAAAATATAAAAAAACTTGTCAAATTGGACAATATCCACGTGCTGAAGTTATTATATTAACTTTAATAACAGCTATTATTTGTTATCCAAATCAGTATTTAAGATTAACAATGCCTGAATTAATACGACGATTAGTTGGACAATGTCATGTTGATGACCATATGGATTTATGGTAAGTTTAATTTAATTTTTATAATTAATTAGAAAAATAAATATCTTATATAGTGATTATGCACGAGATAAACCAATTGGAACAGCAACAGCTAAATTATATGCGTCTTTAGCTGGTCCTGGTATACATCGTGCTATTTGGCAATTATCATGGGCATTAATTGTTCAAATAACTCTTGTTATATTTACAATTGGTACAAAAGTTCCATCAGGTTTAATTGTTCCAAGTATTTCAATAGGAGCTATAGCTGGTCGTATTATTGGTGTTATAACAGAGCAAATAGCATATCAAAATCAACATTTAGCTATATTAAGACATGAATGTGGAGTTTCAAATGAGCATTGTGTTACACCTGGACTTTATGCTGTTGTTGGTGCATGTGCATTTTTAGGTGGTGTTAGTCGAATGACTGTATCGCTTGTTGTTATTATGAGTGAAGTAACTGGTGGTTTATCTTATATTGTTCCATTGATGGTTGCAGCATTAACAGCGAAATGGGTAGGTGATGCATTTGGCGAAGGAATCTATGAAGAGAATGTTAAATTAAGTGGTTATCCATATTTAGGTAAGAAAAAGAATAAAAAATTTAAAAAAAAAATAACTATTTTTCTTTTTTTATGTAGAAAATCGTGAAAGTTTTCGATTTACTTTAAAAGCGGGTGAAGCAATTCGTGCAAATCGTTCTAGTGAAGCAATTCCATTAGCATGTATTGTACAAGATGGTATGACAATACTTCAAATAGATACACTCGTTCGTCGACATCCACATTCAATTTATCCTGTTATACTTAGTGAAGATTTTCCTTGTATTGTTGGTCAAGTTCAACGACGTGATTTATTAGCTGTACTAAAATCACGTAAAACTCAATTAACATTTGCACAACCAAAACCATTACTTAATAGAAAAGTTTCCGTTGTATCAATGTCAAATTTATTAAATAAATCTGGTCAACCATCAACATTAGGAATGCGTAGAGCATCATTAGCATTACAAGCATCAAGAGTTTTACAATTACATAAATTAGTTGATCGTGCACCAATTATTGTAACTGATCAAACACCAGTTGAAGCTGTTGTTGATATGTTTAGAAAACTCGGTTGTCGACAAATATTTGTTACAAAAAATGGGTAAATATTGTATTCTTTTCTTTTTTTTGTTGATGTTAAAAAATAAAAATATTTTTTTCTTTTAGTCGTCTGCAAGGTATTTTAACGAGAAAAGATATTATTCGATTAATGCATGAAGCTAATGTATCAGGCAGATTTGAACATTAAATTAGAAGATGAAATAAAACTTAGTTTGTCAATGTAAATTCAGCTTTATTTTTTTTTATTAGCGAATTTTTTAAATAAATACATATAAAGTATTCCAAATGTTTGAACAAGAAAAAGAGTATGAATAAGTTTTTGGGTATAGGTGTCTTCCGTTCATGATTCACACCCATCCTTTAATAGAAAGTATACAATATTAATTATAATTAATATAATCAAAACATTATAAAATAATTTTTCTGTGAACAAAATCAATGATTATAATATACCATTCGATCGTCGAGATACACCGTTATTTGATGATACAGTTATTTCAACAATTAAACTCAATAAAATAATTAATATAAAATATTTTTAAAAATATTAATCTATTATAAATCATCTTATCTTTCTCTTTCTTACCATATTCATTTTCTATATTTATTGTTTACATAATTGATCAAATAATTGTGATAGTCTCTTATTTTTCCATTTTATATAAATGTAAGAACAAAAACAAGAAAACGTAGCTCGATGTTATAAACAAAGACAGAAAAACAACATCAGTAATGACAAAGTAATTTTTCGCTGTTTAAATAACATACAAATGACTATATTATTATTATGAATTTAAAGGCATTGTGCTCTTGATGATATAGCAAATCAAAATGCTACTACTGTGATAATAAAAATTAATATTGTTACAATTTTTGTATGAAAATGTGTATTTGCATCTTTACGTAATTCTTCTTCAGCACTCTTATATGTTTCATATTATCATGATATTTATTATAATTACAAAGATTATAGAAATCAAAAGCTTGAATTGCTCGAGTATGATTTGTTACACTTATTAATGAAAACGAATAATCTTCCAACGTATCACACCGAAGAACTTTAGTTAATGGGAAATAACGACATGAATATCCTTCAGGTATTTGATTTACTTGAAGAATTGAACAATGTTGACGAGTATTATAACATGAATTGAATCTATTTGATGTATATCTCACATATAGATTTGATCGAATACCGCGAATGCTATACTTTGTTTCATTAAGAATTATTTACATATTATATCATTATTTTTGTTTTTGTATTTTTGGGTTCTTTTAGCATTTTATATAATAATAAAGGTTTTTATCAAATAATTGATAAAATGAGCGAATAATAAGTATGAAAGAAGATTAGAAGGTTTTTTTTATAGGATTGGTTATTTATATGTAACGTAGTTGTTAGCTTGTTAACCGTTATTGAGGGTGTGGGTAAAAGTAAAGGACACTAATAATACTCACTCATCCATCCATCCATCAATACCCAGGTCGAACTTGCACGATCGTAAACGACAGTTTACAGCAAAAAAACGGAGATATACGAAGGTCGTACACGGATTTCATGTACGTAAAGTGGATACGGCTCGAAACGAATTCTGTATACGACGACCGTGCAATATTACGGCAGAATCAACAGACAAACTATTTTTTTCCGTATACGGTGATATATGTTTATTTCTTATTTCTTTTTATTTTAAATCATTGTTATACTTATATGAATGAATAGTAAGTGTATGTATATTTTATTTATTATTTTCTTTTATTTTAGATTATTGCGTGTAAATATAAACGAACAGTCAATATAGTTATTTTTTAATATATTTTTATCCAACGACAGATCGTGGTCATACGATATGTGTAGTTATATATAGTCCGTGTACGGTTACGGAGATTTACCGTCGTAATACGGTTTCAAGTAAGACGCAGAAGTACGTGCGTATACGGACCGTATACAAAACTCATAATGGTCGACTGACAGAGGTGATACTAAAATGTTAAAAATACTTTTAAATTCTACCGTTTTTATATCAATCATGTAAATCTCTTGATTGCCTATGTATGTTACAGCAAATATAAAGAATACACGAATATGTACATAAACAAACGTACGAGTCACATTTTTCTTATTGCTATATTTATCTTTATTTTTTCTCTTTCAGATTTGATCTAAACGTATTCAATTCATATTCTCAGGCCAAATATAACGACCTATCAACAGTCGTGAGCGGTGCGAAAGCGGGCAGAAAACAGTAAAACATACTCAAAAGCGGCGGTGGATTTTAGACGTTTACGGTAGGAATTTCGCCGTTTTATTGCCGTTCCATGCATTATAAGATGCCGCTTGAGATGACCTGAATGATTGACCTAGGTTAGCCTGTGTCTATCCGATTATATATCTCATTGATTGTATTGGCTCTGCAACACAAATACATCGATTAGAAATAATGGAAACTATATTTTTCCTTGTTCTTGTTCATTTCCGCTATATCTGTCATTGTTATATCGTATCTTTTGAATGAAGAAACAAGCAAAGATAGCTATAATGGAAGAGGTATTGTTAATATGAATGGAGCAGGAATTATTTATTTTTATATATCTATTTATCTCTTTAGAACGCCGTAGATATTGAAAAAATAAAATTTATCATAAAAGGAGCATTTGTTAATATTGCGGATGATAAACTAACGGTTGATATGGAGTGTTTGCGTCGTTCCATTTTAATGTTGTTCAACATATGCGATATAAGTAATCTAGTATAAAGTTCAAATACTGTTTTCAACAAAATCCTATTAATCTATTTCTCATTTTTTTATTATAGATGATCGATATTGTTATTACTGAAGCAACGCTTAGCGGTGGTCGGGTGGCTAATAACACTTTCAATACAATTGACGAAGCTGTGAATGAAATCGATAGAATAAATACAAGTATTATACTTTATCGCTAAGCATTTAATTACTTTTTATTGTAATCTCACGATTTAAGAAGAAATCGTCGTCTACATTTAAACCAATGTAAGTTTCAAACGGTATGTTTTTAGTTTTTAGTTTTATTTTTGTTGATCGATGGCGCCATGTTTTGTCAAAAACAAATTTTTTTTGTTGGTCGTGAACTTTGTCAATAAAATGTTGTTTCTTTGTTATTCAATAAACGGAAGAACTTTAAGTATTATTTTTTAGTTTAATTTTTTCTTAACGTTACTCTTATCTTCAGAACATTTCCTTAATTCCAATCATTTATAGTAGTTTTAGTAATTAAAGACATTCCATGAATTGATAATGATTTTAATATATATTACTTATACAAACAAATCTCCACCTTTTACAGACTAAAGATAATTCTCACTAACAAGAATGAAGTTTAACAAATATGTGTCAATAGATTCAGTAGTCAGACGTAACGAAAAATGAATTAGGAAGTAAATGAAATTAAAAAAAACACGATAATAACAGAAAAATAAAAACGCATCAGTTCATTAAGAGACTTTCATCCAGCGAATATCACAAAAGACGTACAAAAGTATTTGATCGTTAAGAAGAGAAACGACGATTTCATTAAATTAATTCGAAACGTTTATCTTATTTTTGAGAAAAACGCTTGCCGATAGAGTTTCTCCTGTCAATCCTGCACGCTCCTGTCTTCCCAAATATGACGATATACTAAAATAGCTCTCGCTTGGCACTGATGTTGCTGGAGTAGTTAGTATTCTTTTTGCTAGATTTGCTAGAATTTGAAAGGTTTTTCCGTATGGATGCCAAAATAATGTTGCTGACGTCGAATCTAGATTATAAGTCAGGTTGAACTATGCAATATACTTTCGATATTTTTGAATATCATCAATGATAATTTCCTTTTTGTTATAATCATGGCTTGTAGACGTTATCAAATTAAAGATAAGTTAAATAACAGTTCAAAATATACGACATAGCAATAAAAAAATTGAAGATAAATATACATGATAACTGCATCTCTTTATCATTCTTAACCAAATGAATAATAAAAGAATATCTTGCTATGTTCATAAATGTAAATTTCGACTATTGTTCCTCTCATGGAACATTTTCGTTATAATTGTACTTGTGCATATATCGAAGTTATTCAAAACGTGAACATACATCTATTGCAAAATTTTATAACATAATCCACACAACTTTCATCAAAACTTCGATTAAGTTCGAGGTTTAATTCTATAAAAATACAGATTGAAATATTATATGAACGAAATTGAAAAGTTCTATTTATAATAGCAAAATAATTGTGATAATCAGATTTAACGACTTGCTCAATAGACGTATAGCGATTCCCAGTTCAAACTTATAAAACGAACCCGAACCGTTCGGTTCCAAACCAGAACTCTTGAGACCGAACCCGAACTCGAACCGAACCCGAACCCACTGAACCCGAACGTTCGGGTTCGCTACATGCCTAGTTTGATTGTTGAATAAACAAAATTGAATTACTACTACCCAGGACGATCATTCCGAACACCGGAAACAGCGTCTTGACTGATCTAAAACGATTATAAAATGGTCTATTACTGCATTAATTTCGTGAGATGCCTAATTCGAGTTCGAATATAAATAGACATTTATAACTCAATTCAGTCCTAGTCAGAAAATGATGTTCCACAATTATCTTTCTTCATTACTCAATAGTCACCATAAACATAACATTTAAAATTTTCTTTTCGTTCTGCATACATAAATATACGCTCTTACAAACAAACTATTACTTTTTATTACACATAACGTCACATATATGTACTTTAGTGAAACACGATTTAAAAAGAGTGTTGAAGTGTTTAGAGACAGAAATTTAGACCCCTCCCCACAGACGTGACCGACAGGGCATTATAGTCGTTCCTACAGTTGACCAATGTAGAAGCACAAACCATAAGTGACAGATGTTTTTTCGATTATGTCATAGACTGACCGTCATAGATATGAACATTGAATTGCAAAACAAAATAAAACTACTGAATTCATACAGTTTAGGAAAGATAGATACATAAGTAGTTTCTTTTATATTAATCGATTTTGCTATTTAATTTTGTAACAACTGATAAAATGATAATTAAGTGAGTTCAGCAATATTATTTCTTTAGGATATTTCTATATCTTTATGTCAAAGGATGAGGTAAAAGGCGCTTCATAATGATACAATTAAACTATCTTCCTGAAGATAGAAACA